GTGGGCAATTCCCCGTATAAACGTTCAGGTCCGGAGCCACCTCCCCGAGGAGACGCCGCCCTTCGGCGTAGAAAGAGAGTTAAAACCGAACAGCCGGTTCAGATTTGAACCCGATATAAACGGGTTCAGGTCACAAGGCCTTTAACGTTTCCTGACCTCCCCGAAGGAACCCGTACGGGTCCGCCCTTCGGCGTAGCCTCCTTCGGGTTCCTCCCCGCCCGTAGGAAGAGAGTTTAACCGAACAGCCGGTTCAGAGTTGAACGGCTGACGATATTCAGTCACCCCCCCCACGAGGGTGTCATGTGGCACAAGGCCTTTTTAACGTGGGCATTCCCGAGCCATTATTTCTCGCGCTTTTTGCTTGTGGAAAACCTTTTCGGCCTCATGCGTTCCAGCCAACTTTAATCTGCAAATATTGAAATGGAGTGTCAGTCGCTAACTGCTGGTGTCCTGATTACTCTTTTTGTTCCTGGTTATTAGAATGTTTTTGTTTCTATTTCTTCCACACCCAGTAACTCCTTGTGTCTTAGTGACTTTACTGCTTTGCATGGGGTGAAATTGATTAAAAAAAATCTGTGAGGTGGTAATAAAAAGATAAAGAAAATAAATAATAAAAAGTAGTGAGGCATAGAAATGGGGGAGAGAGATTGAACAAGATAAAGAGGAGGAAGAGAGAGAGAGAGAGAGAGAGACAGAAATTGGGATAAGTGAGAGAAAGGGAGAAAAATAATGAAGAATAGAGAGAATTAGAGAAATGGCGGTAACAGTAAGAGAGAGGGAGGGTGAACAGTTCCGTGAGGAAAATTTCAAGTAAATAAATAAAAAAAATAGCGAGGTAAAGAGGAAGAGATGTAACACTGGTAAAATAAACAGACAGACAGATACATTGTTTACATTATTCGGACTATTGTCTTAATCTTTGTCGCCATATTTATTACAACGTTTCGGCCGTTGTACGCTCCGGCCTTCTTCAGGTGGTTGGAATGTCAAACTGAACCCTTTATTTCGCTCGCTGGGGTAGACTGTTCTAGTTCCATGTGGCATGTTAATGGTTGTCAGTTATCAGTTATCTCCTGTTAATTCCCCTCTGAAAGTTCTCCACTGCCTTAACCGGGTACTGAACTCACACTTTTTGGGTCCTGTCACTGGATCTAACTAACACATTTATCCACTGATATCAGAAAAGCCGTTCAAATCATGCTCAATTTGTCTCAGCGCTTCCTCTTTTGGGAACTTTTTCCTGGGTAATAACCCCGGCCCTCTCCTGAAGGCGAGATGCTACCTGGATAAATGGAGCCCTGGGATTGAGCTAATATTAATGTCAAACTCTCCCAGCTTGTGCCTCAAGTTGTCACATAACTTCCTCTTCTAGGGAGATGCTCGGTAATGACTCCAGCCCTCTCCTGAAGGAGTGGTACTTTATGTCTTAGGAGTTTCGATACCTCAAAAATCAAGCTAGAATACTTCTTAAATATGGTGGTCTCACTATAGTTCTGCAGGAAGTATCTCATAGCTTCTGCCATACTGAGTCAAATTAAGCCGAAAATGGAGAGTTGTTGGCGTTGCTCAATCCGCAATTCCTAAATTTTATGGAATTCCAATTAGCCTTCTCCACTCAGTAGGTATTTCCCATAAGAGCCTACTGCTAATTTATAGCTATTTCAATGGCAAATGTTCGGATTAAATACATTATTTACTTAGGCAACTTCACAACGATGAATTGAGAACAAGGAGATAGAACAAGGAAAGTAAGGGAGAATAAGAAGACAGGACAGCGAATGGGAGGGAGAATAAGGAGACAGGACTGGGAACGGGAAGGGAGAATAAGGAGACAGAACTGGGAATGGGAAGGGAGAATAAGGAGACAGAACTGGGAATAGGAAGGGAGAATAAGGAGACAGAACTGGGAACGGAAGGAGAATAAGGAGACAGAACTGGGAACGGGAATGGGAAGGAAGGGAGAATAAGGAGACAGATCTGGGAACGGGAAGGGAGAATAAGGAGACATATCTGGGAACGGGAAAGGAGAATAAGGAGACAGAACTGGTAACGGGAGGGGAGAATAAGTAGACAGGACTGGGAATGGGAAAGGAGAATAAGGAGACAGAACTGGGAACGGGAAGGGAGAATAAGGAGACAGAACTGGGAACGGGAAGGGAGAATAAGGAGACAGATCTGGGAACGGGAAGGGAGAATAAGGAGATATAACTTGGAATGGGAAGAAGAATAAGAAGAAAGAACTTGGAATGGGTTAGGGAGAATAAGGAGACAGCGAAGATACGACATGCTGCGTCCACGGAGTCGAATTCCCTTATCATCCCCAGGTTGCAGGTATAAAAAGAAATCTTTTTTTCCAAAGAACTGGCATCTATGTGTAACATGCTCCAACTTGGGTGCTTCCTTGAACAATTTAATCCTGACCTGGAGATTCAGTTATTGTCTTATCCTTATTCCTATAATATGCATTATACCACCTTTTATTTCATTGTCATATACCGCATTAATCATTAGTGTTTCGATTGTCACGCCCTACCTCGAGAGTCGCTCGAGCCTTATAGTGATAAATGTGCTATAACTACGCGAAACATATTAAAAAAATTTATAAACTACATTTCTGACTGTATCACGATGGAGTTAATCAGCCATTATGGTCTCTCTGAGTTCGATCGCCAAGAAGCGCATTATACATCAAATCAAATCACTTTTCCTGTTGCGATAATAAGCAAAGCCGTGTCACAGATTAATCTGTTGAGATCAACGTGTAGTGTCTGATATTATCTGCCGTGTCTCTCCATGCGTGAAGTTCATGAAAAAATAAAAAAAATAAAACAAACCTGCAAACTCATTCCACTAAAAGGAGATACTCGGCTTTCACTGACCTCTTTTAGTTCTTGGTCTATATATGAACGTCCAGGTTAAATCGACCACGTGACACATCAAACAAAGAAAGAAAGAAGCCTAATTATGGGGGTTCAAATCCAGTAGAAGTACTTCCCTCAATGCATTCAAGAAAGAGAGATGGTGGATACGGATGTTATTGAGCGGGTCATTGGTCTCTGACACTAAGCAATTTTAGTCTTTTTGTTTCAGATACACACCGACCATCTTCTCTTTTATTTATAACATGCGCTTCATTCCTCATTAGTGTTTGGATTGTAACTCTCTAACACGAGTGTCTCTCGCGCCTTCTATTGACACTATGGGATGACTACGTTAAACATATGAAGCAGACATTGATCGATAGACAGAGATATTGATAGGAACAGATTTAGATAGATAGATAAATAAATAGATATGAACACACTGAGAGAAATATACATAAAGAGACTGATATAGATAGATATGGACACAGTGAGAAATATACATGACTGAAATAGATGGATAGATAGATAGATAGATAATACCACACTGAAAGAAATATACATGAACAGATTGAGATAAATAGATAGTTAGACATGAACACCCCGAGAAATATACATAAACGGATTGATATGAACTGATATATATATATATATATATGTGTGTGTGTGTGTGTGTGAGTGTGTGTGTGTGTGTGTGTGGCCTCCTTTGGAAATTACTAGCGGGTCTTAAATGCCACTTAAGATTATCGCACAAAATTTCATAACTGAATCAACTTAGCTGTCAGATCCTCATACGTCGAAACAGAAGGGAGAGTCCATTATATATAAATGTTTTCAGCACTTTTTTACTACTGTCTTCTTGTCCGATTCACCTCAGATCATTAACGTTATATATATATATATATATATATATATATATATATATATATATATATATATATATATATATATATAAATATATATATATATATATATATATATATATATATATATATATATATATAATATATATATATATATATATATATATATATATATATATATATATATATATATATATTCATATCAATCTCCCCAATCTGTTTATGTATATTTCTCATATCTATCTATCTCGGTCTGTTCATGTATACGGTCTAACATACGCTCTATCTCTGATATTGCGCCCTTTATCCCATAAATATAGCACACCTTAAAACTATATATATATATATATATATATATATATATATATATATATATATATATATATATATTAGTCCAAGAGAGAAGATATACGTGGACAAACAGAAAAAAACAGAAAGATATAAACACACTGTGAAAAATAATTGAACATACTGAAATAGCTAGATTTACGAGAAGCAAAAAAGATAGGTAGATAGATATGAACAGAGCGAAATAGATAGATTTGACGAAGTGCGATAGATAGCTAACACACTGACGTCAGTAAAAAGATAGTGAGCGTATAAGCGATGGATTGAATTAATGATCGATTTATAGAAAGCTAAGCTTACACCGTCGCATATATATATGTGTGTGTGCGTGTGTTTAAAAAGGCAACGGCAAAACGGGTGGATTGAGACCATTTACGTCATATTGAACATAAAAACAAAGTCGGTTGTCGATGCCATAAGAGGCTTATCAAATATTTCCCCATTCTTTCTCGATTTATACATCCTATAGTTCAATCCGAATCTAAATCATTAAACTCTTAAGACCCAAACACTGTTCAGTAGAATATAAAGATGATAAACGCGAAAAATGTTATGATTGATTTCTTTGCAAGGATTCTGGTATTTTCTTCATCTTCTACTTAAGAAGCTCTCATGTCTTCTTCATTTTTCGAGGCTGCAGGTTTTCGAAATCTTCAGTTCTCCTTCAAAAACCAAACTCGATTGTCTTCGATTCTCCATGCTATCGTATTGCTTCCAGACAAAAAAGTTTTCCGATAAGGTTTTTCATTTTTATTATTACAAACATTTGACAGATTGAATAACCGATGCACAAGTGACTCGTTCCAATAATCACATTTTTGTCTCTTGAATTAATGCATTCAACTTTGTTCTCTGAATCAGTAATAGAGTATTTGTAATAATTGCTGATCTCTTTTCATGTGAAGTCTGTCTTTAGAATTGCGCGATTATGGTTCTCTATCATTCAACGCACTTAGCAATGTTTTCTTTTTTTCTCCTTATATTCCCTCAGATTCGTTGTTCTATTTCTTTGTTCTCCCCTCGCATTCCCTGTTATCTCTCTTTATTATTCCCCAGACTCCTTACTATGTTTTCTTTTTCTCAATCCGATTCCTTGCTCTTTCTCCTTTTTCTCCCTCTGATACCCTGCTCTGTCTCCTTTTCTCAGTCCGATTCCTTGCTCTGTCTCCTTTTCTCAGTCCGTTTCCTTGCTCTGTCTCCTTTTTCTCAATCCGATTCCTAGCTCTGTCTCCTTTTTCTCCGTGCAATTCCTTTCTCTGTCTCCTTTTTCTCCATCTAATTCATTTCTCTGTCTCCTTTTTCTCCATCCGATTCCTTGCTCTGTCTCCTTTTTCTGCGTCCAATTCTTTTCTCTGTCTCCTTTTTCTCAATCCGATTCCTTGCTCTTTCTCCTTTTTCTCCCTCTGATACCCTGCTCTGTCTCCTTTTTCTCGGTCCGATTCCTTGCTCTGTCTCCTTTTTCTCCGTCCGATTCCTTGCTCTGTCTCCTTTTTCTCCATCCGATTCCATTCTCTGTCTCCTTTTTCTCCGTCCAATTCCTTTCTCTGTCTCCTTTTTCTCCATCTAATTCATTTCTCTGTCTCCTTTTTTCTCCATCCGATTCCTTGCTCTGTCTCCTTTTCTGCGTCCGATTCTTTTCTCTGTCTCCTTTTTCTCCGTCCAATTCCTTGCTCTTTCTCCTTTTTCTCCCTCTGATACCCTCCTCTGTCTCCTTTTTCTCCGTCCGATTCCTTGCTCTGTCTCCTTTTTCTCCATCCGATTCCATTCTCTGTCTCCTTTTTCTCCATCCGATTCCTTTCTCTATCTCATTTTTCTCCGTCCAATTCCATTCTCTGTCTCCTTTTTCTCCGTGCAATTCCTTTCTCTGTCTCCTTTTTCTCCATCTAATTCATTTCTCTGTCTCCTTTTTCTCCGTCCAATTCCATTCTCTGTCTCCTTTTTCTCCGTGCAATTCCTTTCTCTGTCTCCTTTTTCTCCATCTAATTCATTTCTCTGTCTCCTTTTTCTCCGTCCGATTCCTTTCTCTGTCTCCTTTTTTCCATCCGATTCCTTGCTCTGTCTCCTTTTTCTGTGTCCAATTCTTTTCTCTGTCTCCTTTTTCTCCGTCCTATTTTTTGCTCTGTCTCCTTTTTCTGCGTCCAATTCTTTTCTCTGTCTCCTTTTTCTCCATCCGATTACCCGTTCTATCTCTTTATTCTCCCTCTCATTCCATGTTCTGTCCCCTTATTGTCCTCCCATTCCCTGTCCTTTCTCTTAATTCTCCTTCCCATTCCCTATTCTGTCTACTTATACTCCCTCCCATTCACTATTGTCTCCTTATTCTCTCCAACATTCCTTGTTCTGTCTCATTCTTCTCTCTCGTATTCGCTGTTCTGTTTCCTTATTTTCCCTCCCATTCGCTGTTCTGTCTCCTTATTTTTCCTTCCATTCCCTGCTCTGTCTCGTAATTCTTCCTTATTGAACGAGGGAATGTCCACATTGAAGATATCAAAGGAGATACGCAGAGATCATCGAACGATAAAGAGGGCTGTTGAAAATATAATTAAATTACGTACTAGAAAAAAATAAGTCCGTTGGAACAGTTGGTATGATGTTTGCTTGTCAACCTAACTGTTAGGGTTTCAATTCTCGGTAGAAGATGCGCACTGCTGATGCGTCCCAAATATAGGACGGAACAGCCGTCCAGTTGTTGAGGTTTCTATCAGACTCGATGAATTAATTAAATATGTATATAAGTCAACACTTAGAGGCGGCAGTCTGTTTCATGCTAGATGCCTGACGATTGCATTTAGCATGAAACAGACTGTCGTCTCTAAGTGTTGACTTGTTCACATTTATACTTACATACGCTCTCTTATTGAGCACTTTATCCATAAATATACCACATCTTAAGTCTATATTTCTTCATCTATATATATATATATATATATATATATATATATGAGATATTGTGTCATTCCTAATATCAATTTTCAGGAAACAATTGCTACGATGAATACGTTCCTTAAATATATATTAACAATTTAAGTTCCTTAAATATATATTGACAGGTAATGAAAAATAGATTCAACGCAAAAAGTAATTGATTGACAAGTATTAATTTCCACAGACTACACGAAAAGCCGGAGTCCACATTTGATATATCGCCCGGTAATTATTCATTTAGAGTTTTTAAAATGCATTTAAACACTAAATGCACATCCAGAAATAACAAATAGGGGAATAGTTTATTCACCGATAACTCGATTTTGCGGTTGGTCGAATATATGATATGAAATTTTTGAGTAAACTATTATTGAACTCGTCAAAGTTGATGTCAGTCCGTATGTGCCATGCGTGATACCCACTTAGGCGATCATGTATCTTTCGATATATGAACGAAAATGCAGATTTTTTCTCGCAATAGTTTGCCATTTTTTTTCTGCGGTGGACCAGTTCTCATCCTGCTATTTATTCATAGCTGGGGGGTGGAGAAGAAAAGGATTCATACCTTTCCCAAGGGTATTAGCACGTAAGTGAATGTAATGGATTCGACTGGAATTCGAACTCGGCTTTCTGATTCCTCAATCCCAGCCACTATCCACAACTCCATCGTGCTTTCAATCACGTGCTAATACACTTGGAAAATGTGTCAATCCTATTCTTCCTTCCAGCTATGGTTAAATAACAGGAAAGACTAGATTCTATAGTCTTGGATGGAAACTGATTTACCGCAGAAAGAAATGGCAACCTACTGCGGAAAAAAATCTGCCATCCAATGTCGGAAATTGAGTCTACTTGGAGAGGGAAATTAAAAGGAAATAACCGAGTATTGAACTCAGAACTCCTTGGGTCTGTCACTGGATCTAACCAACGCCTTTATCCACTGTGCCATGTTTTCTTGAGGACACATGGTACTTTTTTGGTTTTTGCATATTAATTTCAAACTGCGGTTTTCATAATAAATCTAATAACTTTAATAAATCATGTTGAAACTACCTAAAAATTTAAATCAAACACTGTTTTAACGTCTAAATTAATCGTTTAAAATTTGATAAAAACTGTTTAAACTTTGACTTACTGAGAGGTATGTGATTTGTATGATAACGTCAAACGGAACGTATATTTGCTAAAAAAGTGTAAAATGTATATAATTTTCTTCCAGTGTATGAGTAAATTATATTATAGTGTTGAAATAACTCACAGGCATTTGTTCTAACAGTCTTTTGTTAACAAAGTTCATTTACGCATGCGTAATAATTCTTAATAATTCATATATAATTTGTGAATATTCTTGCTTGTACATACTGACCCACGTATTTGGACAACAATTCCTTTTTTAAACATGTGTCATTAAAGACGACTGGCAAGCTACTGTGATTAAGCCTTTTACTGAATTTTTCTTGTGTTCATATAAGTGTTTTCTGGATACAAAGAACCATGATCGGTCACGTATGCAACATAATCGTCTAAAAGAATTCGACTACAATAGCCTTATTCACAAGGCTAAGAATAGTATGAATAATAAAAAACAGGAAAAGGCAACACTCAATAATATCAACTCATGAATACGGCCACAATATGGTGACCGTGTTTAGACAAAATAAACTTCCATTACTATAGATTCATATATATAAATGTATATTATTATTATTATTATTATTATTATTATTATTATTATTATTATTCCTCCACCTGCTCTTTCAGGAAGTGAGCGATCATGTCTTTCCCCAATTCCCAGTCTTTTGTAGCTCTTAGTAAATTTTGTCTGTTTGCTATCTCTCCTAACAGCTGTTTGGCTAGCCATTTACATATGCTCTTCGGGTAGGTTATATGCTGATCTCCCCAGTTACTATGGCCGTCAATATTTCATGTACGTGTCAGATTTTCTAAGCCCTCTTTCCTCATGATGAGCCCTAGAAATTTCAAAAGTCTCTTTGTGGTTCTAAGTACAATTGTCCTGTTCTTTGAAATTTTTCCTTAGAACTACGTCGTTGGTCACATGATCAGTTTCCTTCCTTTTCGTCCTTTTAGTTGTTATGGCAACCAGTGACTTGAGATTTATTAAGATATCTCGTATTGAGTTTGAATAAAGAAAGAAGTATCTTTTCTGTCTATTAGCAAAATAATAGGGAGAATTGAATCCAGACAGTTTTACATTAAATTCAGACTTTGTATATTAATTCCGCCATTGGTACCAACGTGTTTATCTTGACTACGATTGACTTTGTAGCCCAGTTCGATTTTCTACTGCAGTTCGATAGATTTAATCAAGGAATAATTGAGGATGTATTAATCTTCGATCTCTGCTAACCGACATATCATGTTGGGCATTTTCATACATAATATACAAATACTTGACGATCGTTTCTCTTAGCCGAGTTGGGGGTCAGTTTATCATTCGCATCATTTAGTCGATTTGATATAGGCGAATGTTTGTCTGGACTGATTTTACACCTGAATGCTCCCGTGAGCTTTTTCATAGTCAGAGATTAAATACGTTCCGGTTACGAAACTTAAATTCCGTTACTAAAATACTGTTTATTTATTATATACTCCCCTATCTATCTATCTATCTATCTATCTATCTATCTATCTATCTATCTATCTATATACATATAAATATAGATAACTAGACTCGTTTCGAAAAACCCTCGAATTTTTGATTTGCTAATCAAATCAATCTCGAGGTTTTTTTTTTTTTTTTTTTTGTTGAATAAATATTTCCCCCCCGCCCCACTTAGGTTGTTTTTTTTTTTTGTTGTTTTTTTTTTATTTTGTCACGTGGTATGATTTTAGCTATCACCTCTAAATATGTGTTTCTCTTTGCCTCGTTAGCCAAACTTTCCCAGACGATCCGTTTAGGTGAAACCTAGGTAGGTTTGTCTGGCTCACTAGGTGTATCTATCTATCTATCTATCTATCTATCTATCTATCTATCTATATATATATATATATATATATATATATATATATATATGAAATGGACAAAGTCCGACAATTATTATAATGTATGTAATAAATAAACTGAATTTTAATAACGGAACATTATATATATATATATATATATATATATATCATGTGTGAGTATTTTTAAAAGTCTGTAGATATAAATGCCAAAATGACGTAAAGAAAGAGATATGAGCAAACATATACGCGTGTGATTACATACACATAGAGATGAGTAAATATTTATATATATCAATATATCTATATATATATATGCATAAATAATATTTTATCATACAATATATATATATATATATATATATATATATATATATATATATATATATATATTAATTTACTCATGTGTATGTTTAGTAATTTAACCCGAAACGTTACATCAATGAACTGCATAATAACAAGTGTGCAAATGTTGGACAGAATTTGTCTTTATTTCCTCCTGAACCACTAAAGCCACTATACGAAGCTTAGAACGACTCATGATCAATCATAATAGACATTCGTTGTCTGTTTTATTTAACAATATATATATATATATATATATATATATATATATGACAAAAAGAAAACTTTTCTCTAACAACGCATTTCGTTTCTTGATGGTCCTCATCAAGTCAAATGTTTATGTTATTCCTATACATACATATTAGCCTTATAACTTTTGGACATATTTGTAAAATAATTGATTTCTGCCATCATAATTGGATGGAATTTTGTTAAAAGATAAGGAAGAAGGGTTTAATTCGTTATATTTTTAATGCCTCACCACCTCAACCCAAACTTTCTAAAATCGTATAAAATTATTGTAATACTCTGACCTTCTGTACCCTTTTAGAACTTTCTGGAACATTGTGGAATATTCTGCAACCTGTAATATTTTTTTATTTCAGTTTCCTGATTGATTTTTTTAAAGCAGTTCACCCCATGTTGGAGGGAGTACGGCTACCACGCGAGGGGTTACAGAAGACTGAGAACAAGAGTAATGAGGCGTGTTTGAGGAAATAATCCAAATGAGGAAGGGGAACAAAATAAAGGTATCAGATGTCGATTGACATTACACTTGAATATTTTAAGATTATAGTCATCGGGGAAGCAAGTAAGGGGAAGAGAGTTCCACTGACGGGAAGTGCGAGAGAAGAAGCTGTTTGAGTTTGACTGTGAAAGGGTGGGACGAGATGCCAGCTTGGTAGCTCGCTTAAATTCATGCAGCCCGGGAACCAGCGAAAGTAGCTCGTCGGAACAGTTGCCATGAAAGTACTTGTAGAAGAGACAGAAGGAAGCCACGGCGCGTCTGTGTAAAGCGATTGTAGATTAGATGCCAGATCAGGACCTATCACATTGCATATTCGTCTTTGGATTTTTTCTAGACGTAATGATCTGAAAGTATTCATTTTTAACTATAACCTCTCGTAAAAAATGTGCTTCTACCGCTGAAAGTAACAAGATCTGGACAAAAATTCTCATAAGATTTCAAGATTTACTAGAAGTACCATCACTGTAAAACAAAAACAGGATAGAACTCGAAATATAAAATGATGGAGCGTCCATCAAAGTAAGAAAATAACTTATTATTCTTATTATTCTTCTTCTTCTTATTATTATTATTATTCCATATATGTCTATATTTCTAAGATATAATCCGAAGGATTAATGGAAGGAGGTACGGATTGAGGAATAGGAGAATCGAGTTCAAATTCTATACGGTCCATTAGATTCACATACTTCGTAATACCCTTCTCTACCAACCCCCCGCAGGGCAGTCTGGATTATATAGAAATGGATGACAACCGGTCTAGGAGAAAGTATCTCTCAGTTCATAGATGCATGTCGACTTGGCGTAACAGATATTATACAGCTAAAGAATTACATTGATTCTATGATCATGACTACAGTCGAATGATGATGATGAGATATTGTAACTAATTACACTATTTACATCGTTTGGACTGTTGTCCTCGTCTTTATTGTTATATTCACAACGTTTCGGGCGTTGTACGTTGTGGCCTTTTTCACGTAATATTAGTGTGAATTTTCTCATGTCGTCAAGGACACGTGGCCTAGTAGAAAAAAAAAACAGTGGTTTAATAATCCAACAAGTGACCTGATCCAAAGAGTTTTGAATCACAGCAGAGGGACTAAAAACTTAGAGATTTGCGTTATCAAAGTGTTGCTTGGTTGTTTTGTTTTATGGCATATCAACCTCAGTGGGTCATTTAAGCCAACAAACTTTTAAAATAAATTCATAGCGATAGTTTGGTAATAAAGGTCTGTCTGTCTGTATAAATATATATATATATATATATATATATATATATATATATATATATATTATATATATATGTATTTTCAATTATTTTTCAATTATTTTTTTTAAGTTTTTTTAAATATATACATGTATATATATATATATATATGTATATATATATATATTTTTGAACCATTTTTCAATTACTCATATTTTTAAGGTTTTTAAATATATATATATATATATATATATATATATATTTTTAACCATTTTCAATTACTCATATTTTTAAGGTTTTTTTTTTTTTTTTTTCAAAAATGTATTGTTAATTTTTTTTTATAAAGTATTTCTTGTATTAAAACCTATATTTACACTTTCATAGTGTTTTTACCACAGATTGGAGGTTAACTATTTACCCGTAGCAAACAGGTGCTACAACCCCGGTCAGGGCGGATCTAGGAACATCAAAAATTAAGAGGTGGTTCCACGATCCTCAAAACCTCCTGATCAGAGGCCTTGCTGTTGGGCGTAATTTATCGTCTTACACAGGACGCGAGTTATCAAAGGGATAGCACGTGCAATTTGAACAATATACCCCCGTGGGCTGTATAAAGCGTTCGGTTCGACATTCCAACGAAATGATTGTATAGAATATCAAAGATATATTTTGCTATTTCAAAGTGCTTTCGGATTTCAGTTTCATTTTTTCCATCTGTCCTCCGTTAAACATCTTAAAAGACTTTTCTGAATTCTACCAGCATGCCTAATACTAACCCCCAGAAGAACAGATCACTAGGCCTTCTTGGTCTCACGTTTAAAACTCACAGGAAGTAGAACGATTATATTGAATCAATTTCCAAATCAGTTGCTACGAAAAATGCTAGACAATCTCCTCACAGAGGAAGAAGAGACTTAAAGCAACAGGAATGTGGTCCTACAGAAGGATGTTGAGAATATCATAGACCGAAAACTTAAGCAAAGACGAAGTTCTTGAGGCAATGCCAGCAAAAAGGACACTGATGCTTAACATCAGAAACAGACAATTGCAATTTCTATTGCACATAACGAGGAAAAAGGGCTTGGAAGTTTTGATACTCACAGGACCGATTGAAGGCGGGAACGACAAAAGAAAACCATGGCGAGATTGAGCGAATGTATGGCAGGGCGGGATTTGGGAGAGATGACAAAATGACAATCATTAAGAGCTACAAATGACAGGACATTGTGGAGAACCCTGATCGCTAACGTCCTAAAGATACGCGACACATAGAAAGAATAATACAGAGGATCAATTTGTGTAGATGGTGAGTTGATAAAAACATTTTAAGTTATATCTCTTTTCTTCCCTCATATGTGTATTCATAGGCAATTACCTTGTATCCAATAATTCATTGAGATTCCGCCATTGCTTCCAAAACAAGTCGAGACAGCAACTCAAATTTTCACCGTTTTAAAAGCCCGCCCGATTCCCATCTAATTGCTTCTCGGTCACGTCTGCCGACGTTGATATACGACATTCCAATTACAATACGATTACAAGCCTTTAGCCGAATGATTTGGAATGATGGTTCGATGAAGGAATGAGAAATTAATTGCAACTTTATATCAATGTCACTTTTGGGTTTGATTGAGATGGCAAGAGAAATATTTCTTTCTTAAGGAAGAGCTGGCGGAGTCAGATGTCAGTGGTAGGACCATGATGTCATGCAGGCACGAATATTTACGGGGAGGTAAACCATAATTCCTTACATGAAAGATGAGCTCAACTAGCTTGTAGTATAAAATATCAAACTAAAGGATAATAACACAAGTAATACTTATATATATATATATATATATATATATATATATATATAAATATATATGTGTGTGTGTGTGTGTGTGTGTGTGTGTGTGTGTGTGTGTGTGTGAGAGAGAGTTCAGTCTACACTGCATTTATCCGTTACCCAAGAGTATTTGCGTGAAAGTGAATGCAACGATCTTGCGTGGATTTCGAAATTCGACTCGGATATTCCTAGTACCGAGTTTCTAACCATGACACCACCTGTATATCCATTTTCACCCACTCTTTAAATGACCCTTATATATATATATATATATATATATATATATATATATATATATTTTGGATTGATGTGTTTGTTGTAACCCTGGGTTCCACGCTCTTTGCGATCGTCAGACAAACCGATTAATTTTAAAATTTTGGATTTATTTATGATTGCGTATATATATATATATATATATATATATATATATATATATATATGTATATATATATATATATATATATTCACCTTTTCACACACACATATTTAGTTGGATTGATATGAGTTTGTGACCTTGTGTTTCACGTTATTTGCGATATCAGACAAACTATATATATATATATATATATATATATATATATATATATATATATATATA